TTGTTTTAAAGCTCACTCGATTTAATAAAGTTTCATATTACACACAAACAAACAAATATCCTCTACATTCACTTGCTACTATATGTATGTACACAGTATATAAACGATTTGAACCCCAACCGGATCTTGTGAGAAGATCTCAGCATCTAAACGTACAATCAGGCGGGATGACACAATAAACTATTAAATATCGGCTTGAATTTAATATGTAACTGTATGTTAACATTTGAATCATATTAAGAAATAATTTATCTTTGGTTATACATACATCCATAACCTTCTTCGTAAAATATATGCACATAAAACGCTGTGCTCTCCGCCTCATGTTTTGTTTATGTCAACACACGCCGATTACACAAGCAAATTTATGCCTAAAATTGTTTTACTTCACTATAACTCATATCTGAATCTTTACTTTATTATCTTAACCTCATGTTACCGGACAGACACTTGTGAAAATATCTTTGAATATTGATAAAACATAGTAAATAATAGAGGCGACATTTCCGATAACTGTACCCGTCTTGCTAAAATAATTTTAATGATCTGTACCCTACTTGTGTTTTCACTGAACCATTACTTGCGAGTCACTTTTGATGATTTTTATTGTGTTTTTGTCGTATGTTCCAAATTTTATTGTGCAGAATATGAAGTTATTGTGTCACAAGAGAAGGGTACATGTTTTAGTTCTTTGTATGTAACTAAAACTGCATATGAATGGAGCTTTGTCATGTTTTCACTGTCTACGAAAATACTAGCATGAAGTGGCTGGTTATACGAATCAGAAAGTCAATTATTTCTTGATAGGAATAATTAATTAACAAACCTCATTTTCACTTACTATTCATTTTTCTTTGGAAAGATATAAAGCTTAAATATTACATATGTACTATATTTTTTATATTTAGTTCAACGGCATTGTTGCTAGTTTTGACGTGACTGTTATATAACGTCACGTATCAATAAACCTCGAAATATCATTACAAGATTTTTGCAGATTACTTATTTCAACATGTTAACAGCTTTACACTTACGGTTGCATGATTTCATTCTGCTTGAAATTCATTGACTTTCTATTTCTGACATGTACGACTTTTATTCTTGTATATCTTTAATAGGCATCGACAATTTTGGCATCTTTTTAAACCGTGAAAATTCGTGAATTTTTGAAATTTTAATTGTCAGTGTTGAGCTATTGATGTTATAAACTTCTTTTTTTTCGTTTACGTTATTGGCTGTGACGCTGAATTTTTTTAAGTAGGAAATTTTATTGTGATCATTATTCATTCTTATTTTCAAGTTGCAGTCTGGATGGCGAATAATAATGTGGTCAATAATGGCATTGAAATTCTTCGTCTTTACTGAACAGTTGTATTCTTCCATGAATATACATAGCACAATATATTTTATTACACAAATGATTAACAATATTATCAATTAAACCAATCAATTCTCGGTAAATACCTTATATACTAAAATTCTATTACAGTCATTTATATTTTCTGGTAATAATTGATACAAAATCACAATGAACGTAAACCTATTCTCCAATAAATCTTTATAAATACTCACAAGTCAGGGTACAGATAAAATTCGTAAACTCACAAGTAGGGTTCACAATCACCAGCAAGTAACGTTCAGTTTACGGAAATGACCTCCTTGGTAAAACTCTTAAATTTATGTTCAAGATACAGCAATATGTTATGCATATGACTAAATTTTCGTTTGTTATTGATTACTTTAGTAGTTCGATATCACAATTCAATGTTTTACTAAATCAAACTTGGAATAAGACGGATTTTTGTTCGAGTTCAGTTTTGATCACCTGAAAGCTGTTCGTGAGTTTCGATTATTTTATAGCCTTCGTGCTAATGTTTATGTTTTGCATAACTTAGACGTTTAAAAGTTTCTCTCTTATGATATAAATATAGATTTACTAACCTAACGTTCATCAGTATCAATATAAATACCAATATCGTAAACAAGTGAAGTGGCAGAATATGGCTGATACAAAAATCTTCTCACAAGATCCGGTTGGGGTTCAAATCGTTTATATACTGTGATGTAGAGAAACAAAATTGCATATGATATCAACTGATTATGAGAGTCATGTGCTGCGCCACTCGTGATTATTCTGTTTTAAAGCTCAAAAGATGAAATAAAATTTCATCTTACACACAAACAAACAAATATCCTCTACATAATTCTTGTTTATATATTCAAGAGAACTTTATACAATAGTAAAAGTAGAAATGATTGAACCATCTATAATTATAGGGCAATTTTGATGTACGCTTGTATTAACCATAAAAAGAACTGATAAGTACTTAAATAATAAACTTTATCAAATATTCAAAATTACAGAGATCAAATATTCATGCACACATGCAGTTAAGAAACTTGAAAGCAATCAGAAAACATCTCACACAGAAATCTGCAGAGAAATCCTTGTTCACGGTTTGATTCATTCACATTTAGACTTCTGCAATGGATTATTCGCTGATATTCCAACATATCAACTTGATAAATTACAACGTGTGCAGACTTATGCTGCTAGAATTGTCACTGGACCTGCTTACTATCAATCCAGTGCTGAAATTCTTAAATCACTCCACTGGCTTCCAATTCGAGCAAGAATCATGTACTAAGTTATTGTGACTGTGTTTCGTGTTGCAAATGGCGCCGCTCCATTGTATCTTCGTAAATTGTTCACTAAATGCCAGAGTCAGTACAGGAAAAGACTGAGATCCGCATCATCTAGCCACATTCGGTTTGATATACCATCAACAGATTCAAAACTTGCAGATAGATCCTTGGCCATTGTGGGACCTAAATGGTGGAATTCATTGCCAGACTATCTGAAGGACATTACCAATGAAAATTAGTTTAAGGAATATTAAACATACTTGTTTGGACTGTTTTTCAACTAGAGTTGTAGATTGGCTGTGTCATCGAGACTGGTTTTAGGAGTGTCTTGATCAAGCATATGTGTATATAGTCTTAATAATGTACAGCGCAATCGAATATTTAATACATTTTTGCGCTATATAAATGTCTTGTATTTGTATTTAAATATTCGAAATAACAGAGTTACTTATACCTTGTTAAGAAGGCGACCAATACCACTCATATGCAAATTCGTATTTAGTTTTTTGATCACTACTACTTGAACTCTAGTTAAATGTTTCAAAAGTAGCTTTTGGCCAAATTTTACGTCTCCAGTTTCCGTGTCCAAACCAAGGTTAGCAAGGTAAAGCAATTTGATTAAAATCAGCTTCTACGCATTAGTATGAGACATCAATCCATATGCAATGATTTTTTCGTTGACTTTCAAACAACCAATCATTGGCGAGCTTTCATTTTTTTGAAAGCAATGCAGTTTCGAATTTCAATCTTTCGAACATATATATACTGGATATGTAATTTTAAGATTTTGAGAACAAACATGACAATCTCCATATAGACGACATTTAAACTGCCAAAACAATCTTGTCCATTGCAAATTGACTATATTATTTCAAGTCAAATTTGTTTTAAACTACTTCAAATATTTTTTCTAACAAAGTCATCTGGCACGGATAACGATTAATTGATACTTCTAATGCCAATATGTAACAATCGGTTTGAGAACAAGGCTTAAATAGCTTTCTCGAGGCATCCGAATTATACATATACGGTGGAAATCCAATCTACATATATAAAATAAGTAGATCTCAACTTATGTCAGATTGAAAGGTAAAAATACTTAAAGCTATTTCAACAAGCAGCACTACATAAATATTTATAGTAACAGTAGTGTGTATTCTGACGGAGAAGAACACTCTGAAAATGAAAAAGAAAAGTATTCCACAATATTATAGTGTTAATGTCATAAGATATTTAATTCATAAGTGGATTAAGAAATTCAACATCTAAAAGGTAAAACATACCTTTAACCTTTTACCACATGAGCATATTGCGAAAAATGGCCTTTTTTCTTGAAAAGGCTCCTGAAACAAGTTCAAACTGCTATGGAACTATAAAAAATGCTTTCAATACTAATGAAACTTGGTACAAATGTTGACTTCACCATAGCCTCTGTCACAGCATGCTCAATCGTAAATTTTCTGTTCCCATGGCAACGGGGGGACGTCTCAAAATTGCCAAAAATCACTATTTTGCATTGTTTTTTCCAATCAAAATTTATTTCAAAGTGCTGCAACTTCTCAATGAACTGAGATAGAGTAAAAGCTTTTCAGCGTCGGTTACTAGTTACCCTAAGATCGATCTGAGGTCATTTTATGCCTGTCACATGTCCAAAATTTTCTTGGCGATGAGGGGAACTCCGCTCCCCTTCAAACTCCCCAAACAGAATTGGGCACATCCCCATTCTGGCAAACCCCTGATGTAACATTTAGATGAGAGACGGCGCCGAAAAAATGGTCTCTTTTTTAAACAACATTTCTCAAACGAAAGTGTTTGGGGCCTAAATAGGTCATTGTTTCACAGCTTGAGACCTCAAAGGGGGGAGCCATCGAAACACGCTTATATGAAGTAAAAGGTTAATCAAATACATGCTAAGAATATAGCCTCTTCAATGAAAAATATGTCTATTCCTTGTGTGGGTTTAATGTTCGATTATTACAATCTCTTTCCATAATTAAATCTTCACATTCCAAATAAACACCCATTTTCAAATACTTTTGTTAAATCATTGACATTGGGCGTGAGCATTTAATTGATCCATTGTCTTATGACTGACACTGACATACCCTTGACTTTCATGATTTGTTATTATCAAAAGAAATTCCTTTTAATTGGTCATGCACGTGACATTTTTAGCTAAAAACATCAAACGACTCGCGGAAAAGCAATTATCAGTGGCAACTTTCAATCAGTGTATAACGACACTAAAATGTGTATACCATTACATGAAATGAATTTCAAATTCAAATACGTAAATACGGGTGAATATTGTATTTACATATTAAAACAGCCCAATATACAGCTGTTAGTGTTGTGTAGTAAATAAATATATTCAAACAATTCACTTTAGTCTTGTGCAATTGTTGTTCGAAAATTGATGAAGACAATGCATGCTATACACCTGGCGCTATTTTGTTCGATTCAAGTCTTTGACGTTGTGTTTCAATTGTATATCTTTATAAATATAAAATGTACAAAAATTATAAGTTTATTTATTTTCTAAAAAATATTATTTTATCCTCGTTTTTAGAACTTTGAAGTTTAAGAAACATTTTAAATATTTAAATATGTAAACAACGTAAATAACGTTAAATATAAATGGATAAAATCTTTGATGTATCAATCCCCTCATTTCTCTTTTTTTTTTCACTTGCAGTAGCTGTTGATTCTATTGATGCCGAATCAGAATCAGGCAAGGTAAATATGCATTGTTTTTTCAAGTTAATGAACGCAGATGATACTACTTTACATTTTGCAGAGAAACCACTTAAAATGTCAAATAATTGCAAAGTACCGAGTAAGTTCGTGATTAATTCACTTTTTCAAAAACATGTACTACCGACCAACGTTTTATTCAATGATGATTATTATGTCCAGATTAGAGTACCGAAATATTTATTTACAAGTATTGGAATGCATTTGATATTGTAATTATTCAGACATACTTTAATAAAATAATCTCGTAAATAATGTATGTTTACTGTTTCGCTGGAACCACAATGTCTTAAACACAGCAACAAGCAGCATCCAATCTTTTGGTTTATACTGGGTCAACACGACCCTTCCTTAAGAGTGGCATATAAACACTATTATTATCCGAAACTTTTTTTTATAAATTTAATAAGAAAAGAAAACGATATGCACAGTTAATTCTTTTCTTTTTCTTCCTTATATTTTTCTTTTTTTTCAAGGCGAAAGAATACCTTATTAAGAAATGGGAACAGTGGTTTTACTTTAATGACGCCAATAAGGATGGAGAGCTTTCATTGAATGATATGAATCTATTTGAGTAAGAAATATATTTTTCTTGCATATCAGACAGGATTATCTAACGTTTACACCGGTGCTAGAAAACTCTATCTTACACCCCCCATGTAAGACAAGTCGCGTGTTATAAATGACGTCATTGACGCGAGCCTTTTATGAATGAATTGCGTTCTTAGGATGACGTCACTTAACCGTTGTGAATGAAATTGTCAGTTCATACGCTACTATAAGTAAAAAGTGCGTTATGAAAATATCCGTTTTTGTAATTTCTGTTTGAAAATAATTGATATGTTATATGCAAGAAAAGGAATCAAAAACCGGCTGTCGGTACAGACAGGAATATCTAGCTCTCGGGTGACTGTTTACGGCGGAAACTCGGCAGAGCCTCGTTACCGCCGTAAACAGTCACCCTCGAGCTAGATATTCCGGTCTGTACCGGCAGCTGGTGTAAGATTCTTATAATATTTATATACTAGAAAAGTAAATTAAGTGGTTTGAAGTCCTCATGTGCAATAATAAGGATTTATATATAACGAACTAATCCAGCGTACAAAATATCGGATAAGGACAAGGCACGTGGGCGGAATCATCATATTATTACAAAAAATATAACATTTTTATTACAGTCATTTAGGCACCTAAGTCATTGAGATAAAGGTTATATATCAATTATTATACCAAACGGTACTGATTGATTTCGAACGGTCCGATTGTGTGAACAGACTAAATATTCGTGAATGCTATACACATTTACCACTAAAATAGAGTAAAACAGAATCCCTTAAGAAAGCCCAACACGACATATTCGAAAATTTTGCAGGCTCGGTTTGATTGAGCCTGTTCATGGACGGTACTCGAAAGTGCAAGTTACCGCCCACGCCCCCTAGCACCGGCTTAAGCAGAATTCAACATTTAACACGAAAATGGTGAAATTTTGAATTTAGAAACATCCACTGATGTGTTCTAATTTCTATTCTATTATCATTAACCATGTTTACTGAATTGTGTTCATTAGTACTGTAGTTTTTATCGGTATATCGTTAAATCATTTGTTACAGTGTATCTTAATTATGTAAAAGTATCATCATTATACTTTCTAGGCGGAAGTTCTACAAAGGTAATTATAATCTAAAAAAATGCTAAACTGGAAACAATTAAAGGGACACTGGAACGGCGATGGAGAAGAGTTATGTTAGACAACAGGGTAAGCATTTCTCTAGGGGACTTTACAAGTATGTTTAAGGAACAATATGAATCCGACAAACCAGCTTTCACTAAAATGATAACCGAGGTCAAAGCAATAGATTCTAACGGCGACAACATGATTTCTAAAGAGGAGTTCATAAAGGACATGGATTCGACAGGTCGGATGGACATGGCAAATAACTCAAGGTTTTTCTTCTCCTTTCCGGATATTAATGGTACGTTTTTTGACAGAAGACGATCAGACCAAACCTGACTGTATCAATTAAATGAAACTGTGCTTCTCAATATCATGATTAAAATAAGATATCATTAAAATGCCATAAAGGAGTAGCATTTTGATTGTTATTATTTAGATATATGCTTAATTTCACAAACTTTCCAAACTCATATTTATTTCGGGTTTATCTTCACTAATTAAGCAAGAAAACACAGGTTCATGAAATGATATAATAAAAAGTAGAAGGCAGCTGACAGAAAGGGAAATAGCACTTGAGCTTCACCTGTTTGTCTTAATTTCTTAATATATTCTACTCGACGTAAATTTTCGGAGTCTTCTACTGTTTAGACAGTCCTTATGTCGTGACGTTTTCAGTGTTCAAAAGTCACTTTGACCAGGACATTGATTGAACCAGATGTAGTTCAGTATTGTTGTTGTTGGTTTGGAGTTTTAATTCACAACGTCAATTAATTGTCATGTGGTGATTTTCCAGCTTTAATTGGTGGATAAACCCTAACGTGCATTATTTAAGATATGGTTGTGTAACAAAGTAGAACCACTGATGTTCCATAAGCTAACTGGATAGATTCCTGGAATGACATTGACGGAATTCGTGTCAGCAATAGTAGTTTTTGCTTTAAGAAGGGTCAATTATAATTGTCAATGTATTGCACGGAAAATACTTTGGCCAGACGAAAATAATTTAGTTAGAAGAAAGCAAATAACATAATAATTTAACGACGTCAATGCAAATCCCATCCAAAGAATCTTAGATTTCATGTTAGTCTAACACAGTTTATGTCAATGCAAATCCCATCCAAAGAATCTTAGATTTCATGTCAGTCTAACACAGTTTATGTCATATTGGGATTTTCCATCTGAACATTTTTACCTGTGGCATACCTAAGCCATAGGCAGCCCAAATTGAAGATATGCAGGTGCAAAGCTAGCAATTGTTTCTCCTTTAATCAAATCAAGAGCTCTTTATAGTTATGTAAAGAACTTTTATTGACTTTAACATTGAAGGTTCCATAATAACCGCAGAATGAAAACATCTGTGGATGATTCTACATTCACAATTTTACCATTTCATGTTCAAATGTTGAATTTTGCTTGAGCCGGTGCTAAAGGACCTAGACGGTACTTTGCACTTGACAGTACCATGAACAGGTTCAATTAAACCGGGCCTGCAACATTTTCAATTTTGCCGTTCTGGGCTTTCTATTTTCTCTGTTTTATAGCCACATTAGCGTTGTTTGTGTCGTTTGGAGGCTGTAGAAGGTCGCCCCATACATTCAATCAGGGATGATAGTTCCGATCCTTAAAGATCGTTCTGCACAACATTGTTGTTTTGTTTGTGTTGTTCTTAGTTTCAATTAATTGGCATCTTAATGACGTTGAATCGCCCTGAGGATATGTTTTCTGCTTTTAAATTTGTCTTTTGGCGTTTTATCTGTAATATGTAGGTTTCATAACCTATGATCCCCTTTATCTATAAAATGTAGGTTTTATAAACTCTGATCCCCTTTCAAAATTCCATTTTATTTAGTTCCAGCCATTGTTTCTTTTTTAGGGCACACACCTTCTATTATTTGGGGATCATACGCCGCTTTTTATGGATCCCTTT